TCCATCATTCATAGTTCTCGGGTTTCTTAGCAACTAAATCCTCTTTCCAATCCAGTTCTCTTTATTCCAAGTCACAGAACAACATCTTCCCCCTTAGAATGACTCCCATGAATGGATCCTTACCACAAGCAAGTGGGGAGAGGGGAGAGTTGTGGGAATAGTTCATACACATAATCCACACTCCATTGGATCATCAAGGACCAGATGGCTACAAGCAGCCCACATAATACATATCATGGGAGTGACTGACAAAAAGTTATCCAGTGTGAGCTGACTTTATAGTTATAAAGCTGGCTTGGAGAAGGAAGAGGAGGGCTAGGCAAAGCATTCCAAACCAGAAGTGAACAGAAGGTGGGTCATGATCCACTGGCAGATTGTTATGTGATTTTTAGTAGATTGGCTTTCGTTTTCTGTCTCCCAATTTGTTGAACAATAGCCAAATGATCCCTCTCCACCAAAATTATGTTGCTGAAAAGGAGAAAGCTTAGAATAGTCAGGTGTGGATTGTGGGTCAAAAAAGATTAGCTGAGTTCAGTTCCCTTTCTAAAAGCAAATTCTTAGACTCAAGATTAGCTTAGAACTATTCAGTTTTCTATTTCTAAGTCTATGGCCTTGATTGGAGGATCCCGGTTTCTAATAAAATACTAGAGTAGTTATGATAGGCCTAGCATCTGCTCACTTCTTTCTAAACACTTTGATCTGTAATACAGGATAGAAAATGTGCCTGTCTCATATATCATGAGCCTTAGCACTACCTTTGAGAACTGTTTCAATCCACTTGTCTTCTTTACTCACTAAATTCTCCTAACCTAACATCCACTTGTGGCTGTTTCAATAAAACAGTTTCACTCCAGTCTTCTTAAACCTAAGGTCCCTTCAACACTTCCATATAAAATCCAGATTATCTGCTTTGAAGTGCATTATATGGTAGTGTAGAGTCATATAATCCAGTTCAAATAAAATAATATGGATTATCTGCTTTGATAATCTGAATTATATGGCAATGTAGAAGGGGCCCAAGGGGTGACACTAAATGATGGTGTTGAGAGAGGATATTCTTTGCTATACAAAATTAAATCATAATCAGGATCTTGATAGTGAAAACTTCCATAGACTAAATCCTCTGACATTTAACAGACATAAATAAATACGGATTGTGATAACTGGATAAAATCTGGAAAGGCAGAGTTTCTGTCCTTTCAGGTATCTAAAATAAAACTATAAAAAGAATATATCATGTGTGTGTGTATACACACACACACACACACTTTTTGTGTCAGGAGTGACTTGAGAAAATCAGTTTAATTCTTCATCATTTTCTATAAAGCACACATCAGTTTGAATTCATTAGAATCTACCATCATGTTAGATAGCAACAAAAGCATACTGAGCAACCTTTATCTGGAGTTCCAAAATCTGAAATATTCAAAAATCTGAAATTGTTGAGATGTGTGGCAGGTATAGTGACATTTCTAATTCCTGAAGGTTCGATGAAGACAAACTTTGTTGCGTGCTCACAAAGGCTGTGTGTAATACATAAGAAACAATAAATTTCATGCTTATACTTGGATCCCATCTCCAAGATATTTCATTATGTATGTATACGCAAATATAGGTATTCTAAAATCCATTGAAATCCAAGATCCAAAAACTTTCTGGTCCAAAGCATTTTAGATAAGAGATACTCAACCTATATTTTTATTCAGTAAAAATAGAGGTATTTCTCCACATATGATCGCTAGTTTTCTTGCCCGATTGGCAAAAGTAACCCCTGTATTTAGACCTCACTTATGCAACCATCATCTCAAGTAGACCCCCTAAATCCAAAGAATCAGTTTACCCTTTTTTTAAAGCCCTTTGCCAGGAATTTGATAAAACTTTCTGAAAATGATTAATTGTGATTTATTGACTGTGTATATAGAAAGAAAGGACGTGAGTAAATCAACTTTCCTTTCTTTTAAACAGCAAAAACAATGCTATATTTCCAAATAAATAAATATTTAACACATTTCCTAGCAGATAGGTCCTTTTGAATTCTAAATAACTTCTTGGTAAGCCTGCATAAGATAGGGATACCAATGACACAAAACTATTATGAAAATAAAGACAGCAGCATTAAAACTCACTGTATTTGTATGTATTTAAAAGGGTTTGGGGAAGAAGAAGAAGACATGCCCTATAAGATTAATCCAGCTGAATCTGAAGTCTTATAACTAATTGTACTCTCAGGCTTTGCCAAATGATTTGCTTTTTGTGTGTCAGGACAAAAGATTTCTGTGTATGGCTGAGCAGAGGTTAGCCATGCATACCCAGCAGCTGCACAAGATCTGAGAACAAGACTCAGATAGGGAGGGGGGTGCGGGAAAAAAAGATGATTTGTTTAAATACATCAGTACCTGTATCTTTATCATGCTTTTGTATCGGATTTGCTTACCCACTTGAGAAATAAGTTTCAATGGCATACGATGGATTCAAATAACAAAACTTGATTTGATGTGAGAAAATTAGTCAGAGGTTTCCAAGTGAATCCCGTCTTCTTTTGAAAAGGGATGCAGCCAAGGTATTGTTAAAATTCAGACTTACTAGGCTTGTTTTGGAAACATTGTTGATGCCATCATCATAAATGATTTTGAATATATTTGAAATGGCTCTGTCCCACCCAAATTATTAGAAGTCTATTTCACAAGCTTACAATGTTTGAAGTCAATATTTTTGACATCCAAATCTGAATTTGAAAAATTTCATTTCAAATGTCAATGGGGCTTACTTTCAGGCAAACATATATAGGACTGCAGCTTTAGATATTTAATGCCAACTAACATTGCTCAAATGAATAAGGCTGTGATATCTGTCACCTGAAGCTTTAAAAAAGGTGAATACCTGCTTGTAAATGTGGCTAGTTTAGTATGCTAGTGATTGGTGCAAAGAGCAGCAAAGAGGTTGACAAATCTCCAGAGGTTCATTCTAGGAATGTGGTGGTGGTTTGAAGATTAAAAGTCAGTATGAAACCAGCTGTCTCACCCAACAAACTTTATGGAAAGTTCCCCATGACCCTATCTTTGTTTGGAGACTACTTCAATAGTCCAGGAGCTATTTATTTATCTACTGTACCAGAGCCCCCGGTGGCGCAGTGGGTTAAACCCCTGTGCCGGCAGGACTGGAAACTGACAGGTCGCAGGTTCGAATCTGGGGAGAGGCAGATGAGCTCCCTCTATCAACTCCAGCTCCTCATGCGGGGACATGAGAGAAGCCTCCCACAAGGATGGTAAAAATATCAAATCATCCGGGCGTCCCCTGGGCAACGTCCTTGCAGACGGCCAATTCTCTCACACCAGAAGCGACTTGCAGTTTCTCAAGTCGCTCCTGACATGACAAAAAAATCTACTGTACCATGTACAATTAAAAGTTCTATTCTGCTAGATAATTTGCACAGACGGCTGATGCTATAAATTGTTTCAGCTCATTCTACTAAAAATTCTGCTTCTCTTTCACAAAGGTTAAGTTTCTATGATGAGAAGCCTTTACTTATGATATGCGGAGTTGGAGACTCTCATGTGAATGGAGTGGTGAAACCCTTTTGGGCTTTTGTTTGAACTTTTAACCCCATTTGGATGTAGAGTTAGGCATTCTGGTTGACTCCTTTAAAGCTTAGACTACAACCTGGGATGGTTTCATTGCCCCATTGACAGTGAACTGGAATCACCAGTGTCCCAATGACATTGACTGGAATGATTCCAATGATCTGCAAATAGCCAGGAGCTTCAATTTCACCAGGCCAAGAGGAGTCAGAGATAAATGACACTGCGTCAAAACAACAACACCCATGTGTACTACAGACAGCAGTCCTCTTTTTAAAGTTACCCTCTATTTGAGAGAACACAAAAATCTGGTTTTACTAGAAAGAACATAGTAAGAGGGAGCTAGGGTTTTGATATGGACATGAACTGTTAAACCTGGATGGCAAAACTGGACATGGAAATGCTGGGCCGCCTGTTTCCAGTTGTAATTGCACAGATAAATTCATATATTTGATTCCACACTTTTTTCCCCCCAAGGATAGGCTTCCTTTTCCTTGGTACCATGAAAGGTGGTCATCCTGACCTACCAGTTTCCTGCTTCAAAATGAGATACTAGATTGTCCCCACAACAAAATTTGCTCCCTTATTTAGTTGTTAAGATGTAGTAATGACAAGTGGAGAGTAGAACATCCCAAAAAACATGTCTTTCTATGTGCAGGTATTTAAAATGCCCTATGATATGTTTCATAAATCATACTTGGTACCTGATGGGTTAGGAACAGGACTTGGGAAGATGGGCAAATTCCCTCATTCGCTGGTAAGACTAGTCCATTTTATATCTTTATTGTTATTGCCAGTGAAATATTTCAACCCTCCCTCAAATTTTCTAATGCAATTTTTAACTCTGAAACATAGACACCTATATTAGGTTGGGGGATGTTTTAAGAGAATCTTAAAAGGTTGGGTATCTCTTATATGAAACACTTGGGACTAGGAGTGTTTTGGATTTCAGATTTTATTTGTTATTATTATTGAATACCTGTATTTGCATATGTGCGCATAATGGAATATTTGAAGATGAGACCCAAGTCTAAACAAGAATTTCATTTACATCTTATACACCTAGCATGAGGGCAATCTGATATACAATATTTTTTAATGATTTTATGCATAAAACAAAATTTGTGTACATTGAACCATCAGAAAGCAAAGGTTTCATATCTCAGCTCTCTATGATGATAATTTCAGATTTTTTAGTAGTTTGGATTTTCAAATTCCATATAAGGGATGTGCAAGCTGTATTAGGTTTTAAGAAAGAAATGTATTTTAAGAGAATCTGCTTGAACTATAGTATTTCCCTAAATACTATAGTTTGGGAACACATAGCTTTGACTATTTTCCTCCACCAACATGTTTCAATTACCTATCACCAGACAAAGGGAAACTAATCATGCAAAATACAGGTTTTGTACGGTAAAGGATATTGCGCTCCCCGAGTACGGTGAAATTTCAGAAATATCTTGTAGATCACCACACTCAGACTTGATGAGAGATATAGAGAGGCTTTCAGCAGTGTTGGGTGGGTGTGCTGGTGAGCAAGGGTGATGGTTCATATGGTGTGATGACATCTTGGTCCTCAGACTTGTGGTCTCCCTTGTTAGATCTAAGGATTCTGGGGAAGCTCTGTCCTTCCCTGGAAAGGCAGCAGAAGGTGCACCAAGTGGGTTTTGAAATGGGTATGCCATAAGGGGAAGTGGAAAGGGATGGCGGAAAGAAGAGGAGGTGAAACCAGGGGCAGCAGACAGCGGTGACTGGTGGAGCACAGGGTGGTGGCTGCCAGGAGGAGGAGCGGAGGCAGACTGGTCGGATGAATTTTTGCGGACAACTAGGGGCAGTGCTTCTGTTTGGTCTGTGGAATTAGGCAGTGGCATATTGCCAAAGGTGTCAAGCGGGTTTGGAATGATGACATCACCAAAGCACTGGAGGCGCTGGTTGGCCGTGTGGAAGTTGTGGTTCTCCCCATTCACAGCAAATCTTGCTTGGGGGATCTGAAGAGGTGGGAAGACCTGAGGAAGTTGGCGGGCAGGCTTAGAGGAAAAAATTTTGACCACTGTGTCCACAACCTGAGACATGGCAGTGTTCAATTCCTGCTTCAGGGTCTCAGCTAGGTGTTTGCCTTCTGGGTGGGAAGAGTTTGGCCCATGGTCTTTCTCTTTGGGGCGTTCCTTCCTGGGTTTGTTTTCAGCTATCTCCTGTTCCCTGATCAGGGCACGTGCACGGTCAATGAACTGCCCTGGGTCCAACTCGCACATTTCGTTATCCGACCTGCCCACAGAATCCCTTGCTCTTGCATCTAGCATTTCTGAACGTAGGCTATCTTCAGACAGGTTACCAGGATCTTCATCATTTTCAGAATCTGTGCTGTCATAGATTTGGTAGAACTTTTCCTGCAGCTGGCGCAGCTGTTTCTGCATGTCCTCCAGCTGCTGTTTCAGCTGTCTGCGCTCCTCTCGCTTCTGTTCTTTCCTTGCTGAAACCAGCTGCTGGAAACTCTGCTGCTGCTGTTGAGGCAGCTTTTGCTTGCGTTTATTTTCTCGGTAACTTTCTCGGGGGCTCACAGACTGCGGAGCCATCTCTCTTTCATTTTCATTGCCCCTTAATGCCACGCTTGGGGAATGGCTCATCCCTCGAATGATATTCTCAACCCGGGCACGCTTAGCTCTCAGGTGCTCATCACATAACCGATCCATATCGAACTGGCTCATCGTAGGCCTGCCAAAAGGGGAAAGACACTCTTGGGGGCTGTCTCTTGAAGAGTTGCTGCACACATCCTCCTGATGCACTTCTGAGCCTGCGCTGGAGAGACCACTGGCTTGAAAACTGGGCTCGGTGCCACCATTTTTGTTCATGTTATTTTTCAACAGCTGGGAAATTATGGTTGCTCCTGGAAAAGGCATCATGGCATCTTCATATGAGTTCGCCCTCTTCAGCAGCTTACGGAGCACATTTGACTTCTCCCCATCTGCATGCTGCACCACTGAATACTCAACATCCTGCTCGGAACCTTGGGGATTCATGGCACTAAAAAATGATGCTCTCGTCTTTGCAAAAAATGCAGATGCTGTCCCTACTGTCCTTTTCACTCCAATGTCAACTCTTCTTCTCTTGGTCTGCCTGCTTAAGAGGGCTGTGCTGTCATGGTCAGGCATCACTGAACTGTTATTGTGCCATCTTCAAAAGCTTGTCAGCTGGGCACAGCTCAAGAATCCTGGGACCCTGGCCAACAGAACAAAAGGACTGATGAATCATTTTCTTTAAATTTCTCCAAATTTCCTGACCTCAATCCTGAATCAAATGCAAAATGCATAGGCTCTGGGATTTATGGCACATTACAATTATTGCAATTTATTATGCACTCTGCTTGAAATGAAACATTTTTAAATATTTCTGCTCCACTGGTTTAAGATGGATTAAGATTTTTTTAAAAAATAATGAGAGGAAAAACTGCTTAAGCACCAGCAATATATAATTCTCTTACACAAATACCTAAAATGATACTTTTTATCTTAAGAAGAAACAGTAGATTAGAACAACACAGGATCTGATGATCAATTGATTAATTTTAATCTATAGAGATAGACATTACAAAAGAAAATGAAACTTGGGCTTTAGGAAAATCAGTTTCATTGCAAAAAAAATGGTAAAGCAATTTTGGGAATAAAAGAAAAAAGTTTTCATAATTTATATGGATTTTGTTAGCATACAAGGTGTTCTATACTCAATTTATATAAAATGCTGAATTATCAGGCTGTCCCAAATTAGGCGAACATCTCTGGAAATCAAGTTCACTGGAGAAAATTGCATTTTGCTTTTTTTTCTTTTCTTTTTTGGTATTCAATATTTTTTTAAAGCGAATTGAATGTGGCTATCAAGAAAATTAGTCAACAGATCAATTATCCACAAGTCTATGCAAGTTACTGCCCTTGTATCATTTTGGACATCCTAGTCTGTAGTCCTGAAAAGGAGTGGATGGTGAGAACAAAATCTGTCACTCTTGATAACTAGAGTATTTTCACATTTCATAAACCATGATATATGGCACCAAGTTGTTTGCATAATCAAAAACAAGGCATTTCAGCCCTCTGACACTGCTTTAGAACAGCTTCCAAAAATAATATCTCAGGTGCCTAGTGAAATCATTCTTACATACAACATTTTATGTACACAGAACCTTATTTCCTGTCACACACATAGACACAGAGAGCAAGACTGAAAGAAAAATATGGATAGATGAAAGGAATCAACATGAACCAACAGCGTGAGAAAGGAAGATATCTCTCCTTTCATAGGAACCATAATTGTTTTCCCAGGAATGCAGGATAAAAAAAAGAAGACAGATAACACATTTCCTTGCATTTTATAAAAGGCTCTTGACATCATTCGTGACTTATTAACTAGTGATGCTAGACTCACATTGCACATGAGGCATTACAGACTCCTTCCGGTGCCTTCATGCTGTAAACTATACCAAGTTAAAATTAATATTCCCCCCTCCCCAAGATGACGTTTATCTAATATTAAACTTCACGTTTGCTTAACAGAGCACAATCTTCACAATAACAGGGTATCTTGCCAAAGGCAGCATTCAGAGTTTTTGGAGTTGCTCCCATCTGTTTCGGTTCACCTGTAAAAACATCTACGTGCTCCCTAGGACTGCATCTGTAGCTAGTTTTTAAAAGAATGACTACCCATGCAAATAAGCATAATTTCAGCATGAAATAATCTGTACAATCAAGTGAGTAGCCCATATTTATAAGCAAAGTAGCAGCAGCGAAAAAGGCTTTTTAAAGGATGGAAACCATGCTGTCTTGTTGTTTTTTTGAATAAAAAGTCTCTTCATGCAACTAACCTATTTTGGACATATTAAAGGAACATTGACAAAAAATACTTTTATGCAAGCTATGAGATGTTCTTCTGTTTATTTATTTTGTGCATTCCAAGAAGGATAAAATCATAGAATTCCACCCAAAGAGGTTATGAAACCACAATCAGTCACAATAATTCATGGAGAGAGATAATTTTCCAAAAATATATTGAACTATTGATCAGACATAACTGACTGAATTCAAACTAAGAAAAAGGGATTTTGTCACAAACATCTTTAAAAATAATATCTGACACTCACTATATGTACTACCAACTGAGGCGGAATTGATATCAAATTGTATGGCAGAACTGAGTTCATCTTGAATGCCTAGGAGGACAAAACTTTTGGAGAATCGGAAATTGAGTTTTTATAGAAGTGCTCTCCTCTTTCTGTGAAACCATGCACAGGATTCTCAGGAAATGTGAATAATAGGGAAATTTAGATATCAGGGTTTTGATAATAAGTGGCAATGAGCTATTGTCCACCATGAGACTATGGAACCAATTCAAATCCTTCTGAAGTAAACTGGCATCATTTTATTTTCTATTACTCTCTAGTCCGCTAATTGTAATGAGAACAAAAATGGAGCTTTGCATTCCCAAGCCTGGTTTAATTGTAACTCGAACAATCACTTCGGTAAATAAAGGGCAAAAATGTCAAAGTCCTTTTAATGGGCCAGATTCAGAACCCAGTTATGTTGGGTTCTGAGCTATATTCTCAGAGTTTAATGTTAGGACAGCTTAACCGGGAGAGTCACAGAGGCTTTGCTAAGACAGAAGCCTTTAAGAATGGGGTCAACCATTTAAAATCATGACTATAAGCACATTTCTTCAGAAGCAGTGCAGAGATAGCACCAAAGAGGGAAAAGTAGAATAATGCTGAGCATTACCACTTAGAGGTAAGCCCCACTGCTTTCAGTGCCACTTACTCCTAGGCTACATGTGCATTGGATATCATGAGTAACTGCTTTTGCTATAAAACAGGAAATCGTGAAAGATAGTGAAACAAATTAAACTTTTTGGACACAATCTTGAGCCTTTGTTTAACTCTGTATATTTTAACCAACACAACTTATAATTACCCTTGAACTTTGAACCCTGCCATAGGATTCCCTATATTTTTTCCTAACCTCTTCTCCCTTCCATTGTTGTCCATCAAAGACAGAGAGAGGCCTAGTGTATCTACAAAGTGCTGACTGGGAAAACATTGAACGAAGACAGGTCATAAGGTCAGTGTCATGGATCTACAGTCCAAGGAACCTGTTCTCTTCTCTTACATCCCAGCTAATGATTGCAGTTTTTTTCCAGCTTGGTTCTGCCACCAGGAGGTAAGGGCCACATTGCAGTTACCTATGGATCATGCATGACACAGATTTGCCCTTCACTTACCCCACTGTACCTGGGGTTCAATCCCTTTGCTTGTACTGACTCAAATACCAACTAACCATGCTCTCTTTGCCCTACATTTTTGGCATTTTTTAAAAAAAGCATAAAAAATGAAAAATGTTTTACTTCAACCCAGCAATGCTAACTGGCTCGATCTCTTAGTTTCAAAAATGCCAACATGAATTGACATCCTGAAAGAAACAGAATACGGTGTTTAGCAGAATGTGAGATTCTGAGTCAGCAAGAGTGCCCACATTTGATATGATGAAGTCTTTCCTAGTGAATATGTGAAAAAATGGAGGAAGGATGAACTGATAATAGAATTATCAAGCGCACTGCTTTCCAATGCAGAGAAAGACAAAGCTTGTTCTGGATTCAGAGTATTTCTGTTTTGAAACAGAAAAGTGAATGGTAATTCAGACGTCATTTCAATCCCAGTTTTGCTCATAGCTGAGCAAATTGTGAAAGACTGCTAACTGTTTTAATATATTATAATCTACTTTTACCTGTCTAATTTAGTTAGTAATTTGAGCCCTCATTTCAGTCTGGACCAGAATGAGAGACCACTTTTAAGGTATTCACTAATATGAGCCAAATCACGCCTTTTTGCAGCTCACATTAACTATAATATGTAATGAAGAAATCTGCTATTCTCTAGTAATGTGTCCATGTTGTATCTCATATCCTGCCTATCCACCACTCTCCATACATTCACATTTGTCACATTGATGAAGTTATAGGTAGTTTATATGACATATAAACTAAAAAAATTGAGAAAATTTAATGCCCACAGAAGCATAATAAATTCTTGTAGATCATGTATGCGATGATATTTTAAGACCTTAGTCCTCCATACCAGCTTGTTTGATTATAAAATTCAAAAATATTTTGAAACATTTTCAGGGTTTATGCAAAGTAACCATCTTGCATAGTGAAGGTTACATTAATATTTGGAAATATGTCCAAAGTAGGTTGATTCATGACAAGCATATATAACGAAAGATAAACAGGTAGATAAAACTACTTTTTACTTAGGAAGATGGTATCTGTCACACCTAGAGGTGAAGAATTATCTGGTCCCATTACTAAATCTTAGATGCTGATTACAAAAAATAGCCTGGGTGTTACTTAGAGAGAGAGAGAGAGAGATCAACCTATAAAGCTCAAACTTCAATTTCCCCCCTTTAGAGAATACATCTATTTGTCTCCTCCACTGTTCCCAAGCCCGCACTCTATAACCAAGTAAAGAAATATAATTAATCTGTCTAATTGAGGAAATATATGTGAGATGAAAATGTTCTAATAGGAGAGAGCTTTGGCAGAATGGATTAAAAAACATGACACAATGACAGTGACACACACATCATGAAATCTGAAGCATTGCACTGAATGGATCTACATGGAGGTTAACGTCACTTTACTGTACTTCCTAGAAGTACCAATGGGTATTTGTCAAATTTAACATTTCTCCAAGGTTTCAAAGGCAGAATGATGCTACCCTCCTGTGAAGTTAAATGTGAGGGCATTTAAAAACGTATTTGATTCATAGATAGTTCTAAAATAATTTTTTTTAAGAACATTCAAACTACGGAATTATGTTTAAAAAAAAGATATATACCAGTCTGTAGTTAAAGAAAGAAATTAAAACCACTGTTTAGCATTATGGGCATATAGGGACCAATCTGGCAAGGTACTAAAAAGCTGCTGTGCGGTATTTAGCATTCTTCTTCCTATGTAATACAAAGTGACTTCACTAAAAAGAGGTTAGCATCGCATTTGCTGGCTTTAGAATCTTTTGGAGAAAAACTAGCTTTTCTACATTGATATATCCACAAGTGACCCTTAGACTACAGGGTTTTCTTGGTAGGATTTGGTAGGATAAGCAAGTTTGCCCTTGCCTTCCTTTGAGGCTGAGAGAGTATGACTTGCCCAAGGTCATCCCGCAGCTGAGCGGGACTCAAACCCTGGTCTCCCAGTCCAACTTTGAAACCATTACACCATGCTGGATGGTGGCCCGCTAGGAAAATTCAGTACTGTGATTTTATGTACTGTGTTTAATAATGTTTAATGTTTAATCAGGGGAGGGTCCATTTTGATGTTTTATACTGTTTTTTATCAATGGCATTGAATTGTTACCAACACTGTTGAACCGCTCTGAATCCCCTTTGGAGTTGAGACAGGCGGTATTCAAATACTGCAAATAAATAAATAATAAATAATACTTGCTTCATCATATAATTTCAAACAGATTCACCCTGGACTTTCCTGGTTCTTTCTCCCCACCACTGCCACAAAAGCCACAGCATTTCCAATCAGAATATGGAATCAAATGACCCATATGCTAATACTTTGAGAAATCACCCTAGTAATTTGCAGTGGAGCACAATTACGTTATCCAGTATCAAAAACATTAAGAAATGCTACAGGAATAATCAACATCAATGACTGGCAATATGAAACACACCAATTTAATTTTAAGCTGATCAGATCAAACCCTAGCAGGACAAGAGAGGCCTCCTTTCGATTTAAATGAAGACATCACTTATTTTTAAATGATTCAAGTATTTTGTATATAACATAATGTGATTCAGCAGCAAAACATAAATGACATGTTCACCTCCTTCATATATTGGGTCTCCAATATCTGCCTTGGAGGTCTAACTAAGAGCTTTATATCTATTAGAAGTGAGCGTCTGGAAGAAGAAACGAAATACATGATGGAGGAGGCCTTGCAGGATGTAACCCATGAAAGAACTTGGTGGTAGATTTTGCAAGATAAATGCAAAGGAAAGATACAAAAAAACATGTGGTCACATGCAAATCCCATTTAAATGAAACAAGATGTCTTTTAAAACTTGTTAGACCTGCCAAAGCAAAGGAAGCAAGCCCTAAACAATGTTCTCCATTTTTAATTTTATAGTTCAACCGCTGTGTTTCACATACCCTCCATTAACCTACCAGATGACATTAACTTCACAAATGACAGATTTTCATATGTATGCACATACAGACTTCCATCCCTCACACATATTCAAATGCAGACTACAGACCTACAACTCTGGAAGACAGGGATTGATGAAAAAGTGGAGGGGGAGGAAAGGATGGAAGACAAATATGAGGATTTCATCCTACCTTGTTCTCAATTTTTCTCTCTACCCTTGAGTATGCTGCGTCTTAAACCTTTACTACCCATGTTCACACATCACACAATACCTAAATCTACTTTTAATGATCAAAGTGGATCGAAATAGGACTTCAAGACAGGAGGCCTAGTCCAACCAACATTTACCAAAAGCCACCACTGCAGAACTCAACTCTGTGACAATTCTTCTCAGATATTCATGCATCAGTTTACATCTTTGGGTGGCAGTTGCATATGCAAATGTTTTCCTCCCATAAGCACCATTCAATTCTGTGGTGCTGATTTCTGAGTGTGCATTTAGAGTAATTCTACATACCTAAATATTTGTAGAGCCCATCTAAATGTGCACTTAGGTTGCTGCTACACCACAGCACTGAATGGTGCTTACACAAAAACATTTCCAATGATATGCCACCTTTGAAGCTATCTTTAGAGTAAGCCCCAGGCAAAGACTGCACTGTACAGATCATATAAAATCTTGGGAGCAGGTCCCCTTGAAATCAATGGGACTTACTTCCATATACACACATCTATATGACTTTTGAATGCATGCTATCAGCGGACTTTTAAAAAGAGGAAAAGGCCTGCCCGTTTATTAAATGCACGCACAGATAAAGACCAATGCCTAGTCTCAACTTTCTTTTCCTCCTGAACTTGCTTGCCCTGAAAACCAACGGCCCAAGGAGGCTTCTTGATCTTGCTCCATCGCCTTCAGGAGACCCTCCAGGCGCCAGAATCGCTTCTTCCTCTCCCTCCAGTCTCTCTCTCTCTCTCCAGCCTCCTTTCGCCCGACCGTCTGCTAACAAAGCGCCATAAAGGCATAAACAGCCCCTTGCGCGATGAGGCTCAAGAGCGGGGCGAGGGAGAGAAACTTGCACCTGCCTTTCTTGACACAACACACCTGTCTGGCCCTGCCCATGCGCACTCGGAGCCTCCCGCTCCCCTCGGACGGCAGGGTCAATAGCTTCGCCAAAGCAAAGGAGGCCAAGGGGAAGAAAAAAGAGCCAGGATGGACGGGTGGACAGGCGCCCGCTCGCCCTCCCTTCTCTCTCTCTCTCTCTCTCTCCCCCCCCCCCCCCCCCCCCCTCCCGCCCTTATAGAAGAGGCCACGGGGGCTCTTGCAAGGGCTTTATAGCCCAAACTGCTGCTCGCTGGCTGCTTTGCAAGTGGCTCTTCCTTCCACTCCCCCTTCGCTCCAGCCCCGTTGCCAAGCTCGACAGACGCCCGCCCGCCCTGCCGGTCCATCATCCCCACCTGCCGCGCACTCTCCTTGGAGTGACAATCGCCTCCTCCAACGGGCACTTTCTGCGCACCAACTTTTTTTAAGCCTGGGGGGGAGGGGGGTAGCCATTGAGACTGCCCTAGGCACCCAGGGGCGTCCAGACCTGCACATTAGGGCCGGTCTGGACCCGAAAAGCGAGGCCTTGGCTTAGTGGGCTTGCAAAAAGGGGAAAGAGGAGCGCTTGCTCATCCTCACGGAGTTCGGACTCCAAGTTGCAAGTGACTCTGGTGCCATGAAGGGGACAGAGGACACCCAGAACGGAGACTCAGCGGATTCGTCCCTAAGTCCATCATCATCACCACCACTCCTCCTCCTCCTCTTTCTTCTTTCCAAAGCGAAAAGTTCAAGCGGCCTCGAGGGGAAACACAAACACACAGGCGCACCTCCTTTCCCTCGGCCACAGCCTCACTCCCTACTTCTGAAGACCTTCAGTTCAACTCAGCGGGTTGACTTGAGAGTAAACCGGCTGTCAGTTGTGGCGGATTGAGAGGCAGGCGGAGGGAGGGAGGGAGCGGGGGGGGGCACAGAGACAAGAGGCGGTCTCCTTTCTCCTTGCTCATTGTCAGGCTCCAGCCTTTTGAAAAGGCAAGCATGGGGCAAGCGAGGGACGGCTGAGTCCCCTTGGTTTCTCTGGGCCACCTCGAAACATAATGAAGCCTGGCTCCCTGCCAAGGCACGCACGCACACACATACACACACAGCTTCCTTCTCTGCGTTTCTTTCTCACACACACAACACATACATGCCAAAATGAGCCACCAGCTTCCCAACCAACGCATCTCCCAAACCCTGGAACTAAACTGCTCAAGGGGAGAGAAGGAAAGCGTCCCAAATCCTCCTCCAGCCCCCTCTCCATCTCCCCTGACTTGGGACTGAACGGCCTCTGATCTCAGGAGAAACTCCCTTCCAAGGAAAAGTGAGTAAGATCTCACCCTCACCCCAAGGACCCTCTCTCAAACTTCTCCTTCCATCCTTTCCACCCGGCGCGCATTTCTCCCACTCTTCCCCGGCTTTGAAAAAGGGAAGAGGGGGAGGAAAGAGGGGAGAAGTCATTCAAACACCCCTGCCGTGTGTATGCGCTTTCAATCTTCTTTTTCCGTGTATTAGGGAGAGGGAGAGAGAGACGGGGAGGAAGGAGTCAGGGACATGCAAATGATAAGCAAATCGAAGGAGACAAAAAAGAAAGAAAGGCAGCGGTTAATGGACAAGACAAAGAAGACAGAGCAGTCCAGGACTTTAAAGGGGAAAGGGGTTGTGGGGAGGGGGCAGGGGAGAGGTTGGAAGAAGGAGAAAGATGGCTAAAGATACTTCATTTAAGACAAAAACATATCAAAAGCTCACCAAAGAAGAGTTTGGGTGGGAGTAAGAAAGGCAGACAGAGGAAGAAGGGGGTTTAAGAGCCCTCCAGACATTCCCAACATCATCATTGTCCTCTCTAACTGGACAAACTATTGTGATGGCTCCATTGAAGCCGAAGAGTCTTAAAACCAGTAAGATCATGGCTATATACTTCATTTAAGACAAAAACATATCAAACGAGAGTCTGGGGGGAAGAGTAGGAAAGACAGAGGAAGAAGGGGGTTAGGAGCCCTCCAGACATTCCCAGCATCAACCTTGTCCTCTCTAACTGGGCAAACTATGGTGATGGCTCCACTGAAGAGGAAGAGTCTTAAAACCAGTAAGACCATTCTTTCTTCCTTCCTTTCTCTCTCTCTCTCTCTTTAAAAATAACTCTTAGCACTCTTGTTATTTTTCTCCGAACTTCTCAGAAAGGGGAAACACCAACCAGAATGCAACCTTTGGCAGGGATTTGGGGGGAGGGGGGTGAGAGAAAAGAATTAAAGCAACCTAGGTCCAGCTTTTGGACGAAGCCCTTTACAGTGTTAAGAACATCCCACTCATTCTGTGCTCCCCCCCCCCCTTTTAAAAAAAGTCAGAAAAAGAAAACAAGAGAAGAGCAAAGAGAGAGATACTTACTCAGTTGCAAAGGCGATGAAACTGAGCCCCCTCTCCCTCCTCTCCCCCTCTCTCTCTCTTCCCCCCTCCCCCTCCGGCTAGATAGAAGGCGAGAGAGAGAGAGAGAGAGAGAAAGGGAGAGAGAGAGAGAAGCAGAGAGAGAGGGAAGACAACGCGCTCGCCCACGCGCTCACGCCAAGGCACGGCCCCGAGGTCTTGCCGCCGACCGGGATCGCAATTGGCCAAAGGAGGCTGCGAGGGAGCGTGCCAGGGTGCCTGGGAGAGGACGGCTGAATGCGCAGGAGAGAGAGAGAGAAAGAGAAAGAGAGAGAAAGAGAGAGAGAACAGAGGCGGGAGGACCCAGCTCTTCTGCGCCGCTCTCCTCTCTCTCCCCGGCTGCAATTGTCGCTCCTTTCTGCAGGCAGCCGAGCAGCCGCGCTCAGCTGAGGGCTCCGCACCACAACAAGATTTACTTTAAGACACAGCTGAAGGAAACAGGAAGACTACACGTCACGGCCTGAGTGACGTGCGCCAGGCCCGGCGCCCAATCGGGAGGCTCCTTCGGATTCAAGAGGGAGAGGGAGCGGAGAACTTGGGAGGAAAGCGAGAGAGAGAGAGAGAAAGAGAGAGAGAGAGAGAAGGGGGGAGGAAAGAGAAGTGTGGGTGGGGGGGAGGACTGGGATCGATGCCCCTCTTCCCCTCCCAGCCCCCCACCACTGCGGGCCCTTTCTCCCCACCCCCCACCCATCATTCCTCGTGGGAAGGAGGCTTCACCACCCAATGTGGAGGAAGACACACCGCGGACAGCCATCTGGACTGAGTGGTCCTTGTGGCTTCTTCCAACTCTCTAGGATGCTGCGATCCACTTTTGGAGCTCAACCCGGCTCGGTGTGGATCGGTTTTAGCCTGTCTTTTAGATCCCCCCCCCCAAATCCCCCCAATGGGTAAAAGGTTGTCAATGAGGGAAGGTCGTCTCAAACATCTTATGGCCTATTTAGTCATCTAAGATAAACCGAAGGGCGAAAAGTCAGTATCTCTTTCCACTATCTCCGGAGTGTGATCAGATCCGAGAAAGCCATTCTGTGCGCACGGGATCTGACTGGGAAAGTGAGAACTTTCCCAAGTTAGGTGCGAAGCGATGCCAAGCGTAGCAAAAGCGTGCGTTCTTCAAGAGGAGGTTGCTGTTACTTTTAAGCGTTTAGTGGCCAAGAGGTCGGCAGAGTAATAGATAGGAAACAAAGTTTTAAATCATATTTCATTTCCCTTTCGGGGTTTTTTTCCGTGTCAGAAGCGACTTGAGAAACTGCAAGTCCTTCTGGTGTGCTAGAATTGGTCGTCTGCAAGGACGTTAGCCAAAGGGACGCCCGGATGTTTGATGTTTTTACCATGCTGTAAAAGGCTTCTCTCATGTCCCCGCATGGGGGGCTGGAGCTGACAGAGGGAGCTCTTCCGCGCTCTCTTCGGATTCGAACCTTTAACCTATCGGTCAGCAGTACTGCTGAGCCACTGCGCCACAGAGGCCCCCCTTTCGGTTAACAGTATGGTTGGGCTAACGGTCCCATCCCCAAGCCGCTTAGTTTTGGGAAGGTGGCCCTTTTGCCTCTGGCCGCCTTGGGCCGCCTTGAAGCGCAGCTTAGTTTGGGGGCTGCGGAGGCGGGATGGCCTTGGCTGAGCTGCGCTGAACGGAGCCAACCCCCCCCCCCCCTCTTTGGCCCAGGCCTTTGCCTCGCCTCGCCTCGCCTCTGAATGGCTAGGAAGCGGCTCTCGGTCTATGGCAGGCTCCCAAAAAAGCCCCTCAAAAACACCCACACAATCGGGAGCATTGGAAAGGTCAGTTTGGATCGCAGTGTGCTTCTGTCTAATACTCTCTTTCTCTTACGCACAAACATTTCCCTATCTTTCCGTAACTCGGTCATCTGTCTCCAGCGCTCAGAGACGCGCTTCTTCGTCTGTGCAAACGACTGCCTTGAAATAAATTCAGCAAGCCTTCCTCGTTCCTTCCGTGGGATTCCTTCAGCCCCTTTGTTTGGGGACCTGTAGGAAAAGAGGCCTTGTAATAAATTTAAAAAGTTCAAACGGGGTCTCTTCTCTTCCCCACCGAGAAATAGGTGGAAACCAAGGAGCTCCGAAGAGTCCAAGTGAATCTCCAGCTCCGAAGATCACCTTCTGCGTCTTAGAAGGACAGTTCTCAAGGCAGAAGGGAGAAACGTCCCCTCAAAGTTCCCAAACAAAGAGCCTTAAATCCTGCTTTAAAACTATTTGGTAGCTGCGTGGCGAATTATCAGTATCTCCTTCCACTCTCTCAGGAGTATAATCAGATCAGAGAAAGCCATTCTGTTTCGTTTTGAAAGCCCTCTTGACCCGAGTTTGGATTTTTAGGACATCAACGCGCCCTGGTCCCTTCGTACGCTCCTTTCTGCCATTCTTCTCCTTTCTCCAAATTAAGAAAGCCTGCTTGTGTCTCTAGATGAGACATAGAATGAGACAAGAGAGGACACTTTGGGGAGAAGGGTTAAACCCCTCAAGGAAAGCGAATGAGTCCCTTTTCTCCGGGAAGAGAAATCAGAGCAGGGAAGTGAAACAGCGCGAAAGAGTGAAGGCAGTTGTGGGCTCCGTCTAAGGAGCGCGCCAACTCAAGCAGAGCTTTCCCCTCTTTCCCTTTCCCTCACTTAGCTTGGTAAGAAACATCTTGAGAAGACCCTCCTTTTGGAAAAACCCCAAACTGATTTAGGTGGCCGCCTTTCAAAGGGAGTTTGAAGTGCACAGGTGGTGGACGCGGGCGTCTCCACAAGCCCGTTTTCAAACCTCTGAAAAGATTTGTTTTCAAAAGTTCCAGTATAGTAATGGACACATGGGCAAACTTTGGGCCCTTCCAGGTGTTTTGGACTTCAACTCCCACCATTCCTAACAGCCTCAGGCCCCTTCCTTTTCCCCCTCAACCGCTTAAGCGGCTGAGGGGGAAAAGGAAGGGGCCTGAGGCTGTTAGGAATGGTGGGAGTTGAAGTCCAAAACACCTGGAGAGCCCAAGTTCGCCCATGCCTCTTCTACAGCGTCCATCCCCACCTCACCCTCTGCCCTCAACTTAGAACAACAACAAACGTGCGATAGAAATGCCATTCAGGGGACATCCCCCGCTTTTTAAAAAGGCTGAGAGGAATTTAATTTATCCCCGTCCAAATGTGTATGAAGCCCTCACAAACTCGGACTTTGGGGCACCTTAAAACAACACAGATGCCCGCCAAGAGAAGGGAGGGTTGGCTGACCCTGTTGGTGCTGACCAGGAGAATGGAGAGGGGCGCCTTCGTGGGAAAGGCGGGAAAACTCTCCGCGGTTCTGGAGGGAAAGCTCGACCTGGACCCCTGAAGCAGATCCCCCCCATTCCTCCCTAGAGATTCTTCCAGAGGAGAGGAGAAAAAAATGTTGGAGAAGAGAAACAAAAAAAAATCCCATTTCCCTTCCTCTTGAGAAGGACCTTTGGACGAAAGGGTTGTTATTATTCATTGGCATCCTTTCTTTCCAATTATGGCTCCGTGAGAGGAACTAGAACCTCGAACAGGGAACTCTGGATGTCAGCCTGGGAAGAGAGAAGAGAATAGCTGGAGTTCTCTCTCTCTCTCTCTTTCTGTTTGAATGGAGGTAGTTCAACCCCCCCCCCTCTCTCTCTCTCTGTCTTTCCTTTACCAATCATGGTTCCGTGAGGAGAAGTAGAACCTCGAATATGGGGAACTCTGGATGTCAGCCTGGGAAGAGAGAAGAGAATTGTTGGATCTCTCTCTTTCTCTCAATCTCTCTGCGTTTGTATATAGGTAGTACAACCCCCCCCCCCCTTTTCTGTGTTTTTCCTTTTCCGATTTTGGCTCCGTGAGGGGAACTAGAACCTCGAATGAGGAACTCTGGATGAGAGCGGATTGAGCTCCCTCTGTCAGCTCCAGCTCCCCATGAGAGAAGCCTCCCACAAGGATGCTAAAACACCATGCATCCGGGCACCCCCTGGGCAACGTCCTTGCAGACGGCCAATTCTCTGCGACTTATAGTTTCTCAAGTCGCTCCTGAAAGAAAAGAAAGAAGCCTGAGGAAAGAGGAGATAATGGCTGGAGTTTTCTCTCTCCCCCTCTCTCTGTGTTTGAATATAGGTAGTTCAAACCCCTCTGTGTGTGTGTGTCTTTCCTTTCTCTCTCTTTCTCCTTCTTTCCTTCGTTCTTTTCCAGTTATGGCTCTGTGAGGGGAACTAGAACCTCGAATATGGGGAACTCTGAATGTCAGCCTGGGAAGATAGAAGAAAATGGCTTGAGTTCTCTCCCTCTCTCTCTTTCTGAGTTTGAATATAGGTAGTTCAAATCCCTGTGTGTGTGTGTGTGTGTGTGTGTGTGTGTGTGTGTGTGTGTGTGTCTTTCCTTTCTCTCCCCCCACTCTCTCCTTCCTTCCTTTCTTGGTCCTTTTCCAGTTAGGGATCCGTGAGGGAAGCTAGAACCCCGAATATGGGGAACTCTGGATGTCAGCCTGGGAAGAGAGAATGACTGGAGTTCTCTCCCTCTCTTTCTTTCTGCGTTTGAATAAAGATAGTTCAAACCCCTCTGTGTGTGAGTCTTCCCTTCTCTCTCTCTCTCTCTCTCTTTCTATCTCTTCCTTCCTTCCTTCCTCCCTCCTTTCCCAGTTACGGCTCCGTGAGGGGAACTAGAACCTCGAATATGGGAAGCTCTGGATGTCAGCCTGGGAAGAGAGAAGAGAATGGCTGGAGCTCTCTCCCTCTCTTTCTCTCTCTCTCTCTCTCTGCATAGGTAGTTCAAACCCCTCTCTGTGTGTATGTCTCTTTCCTTTTCCAGTTATGGCTCCGTGAGGGAAACTAGAACCTCGAATATGGAGAACTCTGGATGTCAGCCTGGGAAGAGAAAAGAGTTGGGAATCTCTCTCTCTCTGCGTTTGAATATAGGTAGTTCAAACCCCTGTGTGTGTGTGTCTTTCCTTCCTCTCTCTTTTTCTCTCTCTCCTTCCTTCTTTCCTTCCTTCGTGGTTTCTTTCTCCCCGGGGAGTTCAAAACACAACAACCCCGAACCTCTGATGCGCCTCTCCCATCTGTTTCCTAATTTGTGAGGTGAGGCAGAAGAGTCAGGAGGCGAGGAGATCCATCTCCGTGGCGGGGAAGCGGGATCAGGCGGCGGCGCTTCCCACTGGGACTGAGAAGGGACAGCCTACGCCGCTCACCCTTCCTTCCTTTCTTCCTTCCTTTCCCACGCGTGGCAGGGAAGGAAAGAAGGGACCAAAGTTTCATGCCGTTGCAACAAACCAATAAAGCTCGCTCCGTTCTCAGGGCGAACTTCTGCTTTTCCTTCTTCTTCTTCTTCTTCTTCTTCTTTCCCTTTCCCGCCCCCTTACCTTCCTTCGCTGCTTTTCCTTCAGTCGCGCCCTTCCAGGTCATTTGACCCAATCGACGCGCCTGGCTGATTTTATAACTTCGAGTTTGTGCGTGTGTGATGTTTGTGTCTTTCTTTTTTTGTTTGTTTGTTTGTTTCTCCCCCTTTTCTCTCTCTCTCTCTGGAGTCTTTTTATTTTATTTGCAAAGCGACACCATGAAAGTCCGCGCCAACTGGCCTTTTGTGTCCAACTGAGAAGCAGCCGACCCCGGTTTGACGCGCAAAAACCTGTCCAGTTTGAAAACAAAACCACGCCACGAAACCAACCGTCGGGCGTCCACGCAGCAGTGGCTCTGAACGGCTTCCCGGAGCGAAATGAGACCTCCCTTGGGTTAAGGAAGGGGTTCCCAAACGCTTTGCCTCCCCGACGTTGGGTTCCCCGACGGCTTCGGCCCGAAGAGAAAGACACCAGGGGCCGCCCTTGGAGACATTTCCTTTGAGCGGAAAGCGCGCCAAAGGTTTCTCCTCTCTTGGGAGTCTCTTGACCGCTCTCGCCCTCAGCTCTCCTCAAACCCCCGAAACTAAACTTTTTAGTATTGTTGTCATAATATTATTATTATACAAAGGCACGAGTTCTCTAGCCTGCTGAAGGGAGGGAAGTCAGAACTCGCATCTCTGCTGCGCTTTTGCACAACTTCGGTTTCTAATCGGGTTCAAGGGGGCAAAAAAGTGGGTCACTCCCTCTCCTTAGTTTTAGAGCAATTCGGTTCCATTGTGAAGACGTTCGTGGTGTTAGTTAAGAGTGCATCTACACCAGGTATGGGCATCCTTCAGCCTTTCCTCGAGGTGTTTTGGACTTCAGCTCCCACCATTCCTAACAGCCTCGGGCCCTTTCCTTTTCCCCCCTCAGCCGCTTAAGCGGCTGAGGGGGAAAAGGAAGGTGCCTGAGGCTGTTAGGAATGGTGGGAGCTGAAGTCCAAAACACCTCGAGGGCCCAAGTTGGCCCATGCCCGATCTATACTGTAAAATGAATGCAGTTTGATACCACTTTGAAGTGCCATGGATTTCTGGGAGTTGTAGTTTGTTGAGGCACCAGCCCCCTTTGGCAGAGCAGGCTAAAGACCTTGTCAAACTACTGCTCCAGAGCATCGAGCCAGGGCAGTTCAAGTGGTGCCAAAGTGCATTCATTTATACTCCAAGTGTAGGTGCAACCTAAGTCTTTGTGGGTACCACCCTCTCAACAAAACGTGTGCTCTTCAGGATCCCATTTCACAGCTCGGAGAGGAACCTCTGGTGGCGTAATGGGTTATAAACTATTGTGCCAAAAGGTCAGCAACTCAAATCCAGGAAACAAGGTGAGCTCCCGTCTGCCAGCTCCAGCTTCTCATGTGGGGACATGAGAGAAGCCTCCCACAGGATTGCAAAACACCCGGGCGTCCCCTGGGTAATGTCCTTGCAGACGGCCTATTCTCTCACACCAGAAGGACTTTTAGTTTCTTAAGATGCTCCTGACATGGAAAAAAAACTTAGAGAGGAATATTCCAGTTTTCTTCTTGCTGGCCTGTGACTTCCAGTCATTTTGACTTTTGGCGACTCTAAGGCAACCCTGTGAAAGAGTTTTCTAGGGCTGAGAATGTGTGACTTGCCCAAGGCAGGTGGATATTGAATCACTTCCCCCCAAGTCACAGACAAAAGTGACTGCCTCCTTCCCCTGGAGCCAGGAAGTAATAATTCAATATCATCTGGTGTCAACTCAGGCTGCATTTATACTGCTGGATGAATGCAGTTTGGCACCACGTTAACTGCCAAGGCTCAGTGCTACAGAATTGTGGGAGTTGCAGTTTACAAGGTCTTTAGCCTTCTCTGCCAAAGCTGGGCTGGTGTCTCACCAAACCACAAATCACAGAATTCCATAGTATTGAGCTAAGGAGGTTAAAGTGCTTTCAGATTGCATTCATCCTACAGTGTAAATGCACCTTTAGTCCACTCATGTTCCCATTTTGGGGATGGAGAAGGAATATCCCCCCTTTACAGAGAGAAAAGTAAGACTGGTGTCAAAGAGACTTCCTCCCTCCCTCCCATGTCAGGGTGTGATGACTCAAAATTCACCAGGTGCTAGTTTTTTCCAGCAGTGCCAGGAAATGCTTCACTGTGAACTGAACTTGTTGAATTTCTGCCTGCTTCACAGCTTTTGAACTTTAAAGGCACAGAACAGAAGCCATGCTGGGTGAGGAGAAGAAGTCAGGGTTTGTGTTTTGTGTGCATGTGCGCATGTCTGTGTCTTGTGCCTTTGCCTGCTGCTCTTGGCTATGCGCAGCACCTGTGTCTGAACAAGAACTCGAACCCAGACCTTGCGCCTGTGCCTGCTGCTCCTTGCAAGATGGGACTACAAGGATATATATTTTAAAAAATTGTTATGGAACATCCACTTGCAATTGACTGGTACCAGAGATATAGCCAGTACTGGCTTCGCCTCAGGCAACCAAACTTTCCAAAAATCAAGACATTAACAGATGGTGGCAACCACATGGAGAGATGATGTTGCTTAGAGAGAATCTACTCATTTCACTCAAGCCGATAAAGAGTGAATCCCAGAAGGACACCATGTATTCTGAAGAGTTCTGCACTTGGCCCGTTCTTATCCCTCTCCCTTCTGCTCCCTGTTTCATCAGCTTCATTTCTTTTCATTTTTTTTAGAAATACATTTAAAAAAATAAAAATAAAACCAAACTCCGCAATTGCTTCCTGAAAGGGACAGTGGGCCGCCAAGTGTTTGCATGGCATTCAGGATGCTCAGCAATTTCTATTTCTGCTGCTAAAAAGGTTTGTCTATAAATGAATGAAAATGAATATGATTTTTTTTTAAAAAAGAAATAAACAGAAAGGGATACTCTATGAATGGATCCGAATGCTAAAATTACTTGAGATCTCAGATGCAACTTTAGATTTGAAATCAAAATAAGGACAACACTGCTTGCATTCTTGGATCACAAATGTACTTGATTTTTTGCAGTGCAAAGTATGCAGTGCATTAAATATTAACACTTTATGCCTACCCATATAACAGACAAAAAGAAATATCCTGCAACCTTGAAGTTAAGAAAAATATTTTAAAAACTCATAAGAACTGAGATCCAGAAAGCTTTGGGATTAGAATAATAAAGCTCTGCTTGATTTTACTTTTGGAATTATTTCCTGTATCTCATTATCACCTGTAATGAGGAAGGATCAAAATGACTTCCTAAGAGGAAACCTGTGTAGTAACTTTGAAAAATACCTATGGGAGTGAAAAACACACCAAACAAACTCACAGTCTTTCTGAATATGAAGGACAGAAAGTTCTATTGATATTTCAGTATAAACTTAAACCAATTGTTGTAATCCAATTTAATCATTACAATAATTTCCCCCAAAGGCTGAAGTTGAATAATGAGAGAAAGCATTGTTATAGCTACACACTTAGATGTATTGTTGAAGGCTTCCATGGCCAGAATCACTGGGTTGTTTTTCGGGCTATATGGCCATCTTCTAGAGGCATTCTCTCCTGACATTACACACTTAGAGCTTGGAAAAGGTATGTTTGGGATTTCCAATCCCAGAATCCACAATTGAGAGCCAATGAGATTGTGATAGTTGTAGAACCCAAAATAACTTTCTCAAGCTCTGTATCAGACTTACTAGAGCTCCGCTATGTCTTGCAGGACAAAGCTACACAAAGATTTTCATGAATTAGAATCAATAGTTGTACAGTATACAATCTAGTATCTAGTACAATCTAAGCCTTCGACAATCTAGTATCTATTTCTACTTGAAACAACTTTTATTCTCTATGACTAATGAGCAAAACTCTTTCCTCTCCAAAGAAGAGTTCAGTGTAGCAAAACTGAAAAATTGTAAGTTCAGCTGCAAATCCTATATGGTTTTGGGGCAGTGACTTTGTATTTTAGCTTGTGCCCTTTTCACCCATTTTAGTTTATTTACTGGGGTTTCAACAAGTGTCCAGACACTCCACAAGCCAGAAAATTAGAAGCCTTCTTTGTGGGCATGGTAAAGCAACATGAGACTATTAAAGCAAGACATACCAGTTGTCCATTAGGTTTAGCATTTTTTAGCCAATAGCTCTTCAGGGTCTCTGTTCGTACTCCTTCTCATTACATCAACCTGATATTTTAAACTCACAATATCAGCAACTGAGTGATGTGTCAGTGAGATGTATGTTGGACTCTTCAAAAACAGGCTAGTGGTTCTCGACCTGTGGGTCCCTAGGTGTTTTGGCCTACAACTTCCAGAAATCCTAGCCAGTTTACCAGCTGTTAGGATTTCTGGGAGTTGAAGACCAAAACATCTGGGGAACCACAGGTTGAGAACCACTGGTCTAGACATTTAGCTATATACTGAAAATGCTTTAGCTGGAGATTCTGAGATTGGACTAGATGGTGCATGAGGCCCCTTCCAGCTCTATGATGCTATGTCTCTGGAGACCAGGATTTGAATCTTTCCTCCATTGGAAACCCACTGGCTGACCTTGGGCACATCACATTCTCTCTGGCTCAGAGGCAAACTCCCTCTAGGCAAATCTTGCCAAGAAAATCCCATGGGGAATTTGAGATTATTTTTTTTTTACTGATGTGCTTTATAAATGGGTTTTAATCAGGTTCAGTATTTGAGCTCGTTTCATAGGTTTTCAAATTAGAACGTTATATGTTGTGATTTAATCTTGTGATCAAGTGTTAAACGTGGAACGATAACTCAAATGGGTAGGTTCTAAGGAAAGTAGATGTTCAGTAATACTTCATTTATGGATTTCTAACATTGGCAGTGGGTGGACCAAATGTCCCCTGAAGTCCCTTCCATTCGATAGTTCTTGGATATATTACATGCAAAATCTGCCACTGACCCTATTCATCTAACATATATTTGACTGGGAACTGAACAAAAGACCTCTTGATTTTCAAACAAAGAGGACCATGTTCTGAGATCATAGCAAGCAGGTTTGGTGAATCCTGGGACAATTTTGGCCACAATCCTTTGAAATGTGCTTTTACCGCCACATTTCCCCCCCAAATTCACCCTGGAAAGCCTTTCTCTTGTAAGGCCCTCTGCTTTATTTTATTGTACTGTAAAAATCTCTGCTCCTAGAGACCTCATGGAGGCTTCCAAGACAAGTACATATTTTTCTTTTTTGTAGGATAAGGATCTGGTATGTGTGTCTCATGATTTTTTTAAACAAATACCTTTTGATATATCAAAAAGTATTCAGTTAATTGGACAGCAGTTCTTTGTATTTTGCTGAGGGATTGCATAAATGTTTATGCAAACTGCTGATGGCAAATGTTATCCTTAAAATACTGTAACTACTTCTACAATATAATGCTTGTTCATTATACATGTCCATCATTCATATAGATATAGAATTTATATGGAGGCATGCTCTCATAAGATTTTTTTTGACTTAACGGATGAATTAATTAACTAATTAATCCAGATGGGTGTTACAGAGAGCTATGGGTCTTTCAGAGTTAAATGATACTTTCCTACTTTATTATCTAAGCACTACATGTATTTATTTCCTCTTTCGAAATATAACATCTGCATTGCCTATATGTTATATTGAAATGCCTCTTTTCTAGTTCTTCTCTTACATGGATGGATATGTGAACATGGATTTAAATTAGCATGGATGAGTCATGTGTAAACATACTCATGGAAGGAACTATCTCTCCTTTGGAATAGGGATTTCAGAAATGAAAGGAGTTCCTAGCAATTGGGTGCTTTCTAATGGTCTTTCCAAACGGAGGAGTTTTGAGCAGAAGGAGGACAATTCTGAAGTAGATAGAAACTACATATGGATATTATGGAACTAAGCCATCTAGTGGACTGCTGCTAGCAAAAATAATAAAAGAGTTTATAGTGGAATCACTGGAAATGTGTGTGTATACTATGTACTGTCAAGTCGCCTACAACTTTTATAGCATTTTCTTAGGCCCAATATGAAACAAGAAACATAACACAAATGTCTTGCCTCAATTGCTATTTCCCTCCTGAGATTCTGTCTCTATTTAGTAACTACCCTACACTTTGAAAAGAAGAACATCAATTGTGAAATAGTGCTGTGGAGAATTTAATAATCAAGTTGTCAGAAAGCCATCTGGTTGTGTGGTAGGTTTGCCACAAGAGGGTAGTTCTTGCCAAAAGCTTCAAGCTTCCTCTTGCTTGTTCTATTTAAACAAAGAGTTGTTATCTTCAGAAGAAACAATTCTGTCTTGGGTGGAACTCAAGACAGTGCTATTATAAGATCAACCTTCCCAAAAAACCTATTTGCTCTGTTTCCTGGTTGTTTTCTGTATCACAATAATGTAACCAGTATGACAAGAAAAACCAAGTTTTAGACTTCAGATCTTTTGCTTTAGTCCAGTGGTCCCCAAACATTGGTCCTCCAGATATTTTGGATTTCAGCTCCCAGAATTTCTCATTGTTGATCAAGCTGACTAGAGCTCCTGGGAAATGAAGTCCAAAGTGAAGTCTAAAGTTTGGTAACCACTGCTTTTATAAAGTTAATTTAGGATAACATCATCAATCCATTTTATAAGATCAAAGAATGTGACCTTAGGATATATCTGAGTAATGGCTTAAATGATTTTTCCTTGTATACTTTCTCTTTATCTCTTAATTCAAGAATAAAGCTCTCTGTGTGGAGGAATTTCTAGAATTATTTGTACCATTAAACAACATAGATAGCACAATGGGACAGCCTAGGTTGCTGGCTGTGTTTAGCTTGGAGAACAGTGAGAGGTGATATTTAAATTTCCAAAGGCATGTCATGTGGAAGATGTAGCAAAGTTGTTGTTTTTTGTTTTTGTTTTGTTTTGTTTTTGTTTTGCTGTTTCAGAGACCTAAACATGAATCAGTAGAAATTATAAGGGAAAAAAAGATTCCACCTAAACACTGGGAAGAACTTTCTGGGTGTAAGAGTTGTTCAAAGGTAGAATAGACCTCTTCAGAGTATAATGGACTCTCCTTTTGAAGTTTTAAACAGAGGATGGGTGACCATGTTTTGGGAGTGCTTAATTTGTGTATGGCAGGAGGCTGGATGAGGCAAACCTTGCAGTCACTTCCAGTTTTATGATTCTATGAATGTAGCATCTGGTCTGGATGTAATTTCTTCTCTCCCTTCTGCCCATGGATTCTGATTTTCCTAATGATGGAAGAGGGGCCTGATTCATGAACAGATTTGAAGGGGAAGTGGTCTGCTTTGTTTCCTGTACTAAGGCAGAACTAAACAACACTCTGAAGGACAACCCTTGTGCTGTTATTCATAGAAAGCTAGGTCTCCAGCATGAAGGTCTTTAATGTTTATGAGTACTGATTGGCAGTCTATGTTTTTCACCATTTTGGCCAACTATCCTGTCCATCACATTTGATAGAGGCAAACAGTGGCAGCTGGTGACTCTGATGCCAGTAGGGCAGTCAGTCTGCTCTATATTTCAATCCAAACTTCAAAGAAACTCTCCAAGACACTGAATTCTATTCACCACCAAGTAGGTTCAGCACCTTGGACAGCTCTTCTAATATTTTTCTGGCTAAAACTCAGAATAATTCACTGGTCCACTGGTGTGAAAGCCACAGAAAGCAAATATTTCATGGAATAGTCTGCTATGGCAAATGGTTTTCCCAACAAGGCATTCTTCCTATTCCTCTTAACAAGACGTATAAAACTGGTAGTTTGATGG